TTAGTAAAGCTTGTGCTAGTGTATAAAGATAACTACAACAGCTACTACTACTACTACAACTACTACTACTACTAATACTAAGCAAGGGCTGTATAACCTATTTTATACACAAGGAAAAAGACTACTTCTGCCACTATTACTGCAACTAATATTGTCAAAAAATGCAGAATTTTACAACACAAACAGACCTACCCACCCCCCCACACACATACACACACAGTTTCACACACTTAACAACAAAAAAGCTTTTAAAGAACTCCAGCCCTTTTGCAACTGCCCATTAACTTTCCCAAACTCTTAATACTTTCTCTCGCCCACTATTAGCCAGCCCATTACTGTTGTTACATTACTCGACTTTAGCCCCAGCACTTATTGACTTGTGTAATTGGACGAAACATTGCAGGTATCTTCATTGTATGGGTGTGTTTTTTGGCCTTTTACCATCACCAGTGTTTGTTTTTTTTTTTTGTTTTTTTTGATTATGCGTTAATTTCCCTCAAGACTGGAGCTGGCAGAAGTATCCCTCCTCGCTTCTCTTTGGAGTCAGTAAATACTTTCCTTATTGACATAATCAAGTTGCTGAGACTGTGACATTCTACAGTAATAGCAGAGTGATAATCCACACACAATTGCTTCTCTTTGCTCAGTCGCCACAGGGGAAGCCTTAGGGGACAGTCTGTAGAAAATTGTTGCTTACCGACTGACCGTGAACATGATAGCCTTGCCCTCGCTCTTTAGCCGTTATTACCCCTGTGGAAAATGGAGGATCAAACTGTCCAATGCTGACCTGAGGGGGTGAGGTCCTGATGCAAGACGCAAGAGCTCCAGCAAGTGGCCAGAATGAAAACTTCCACTTGATCAATATCGTCTCTCAGACTGAGAAAGGCCATTTGTGTCAGCCAGTTGATAAATTATGATCAAATGCATGTGCACATCCCACTGACAAACAGAAGAAGGCATTTTCCAAATAATTAATATGAAGTGTAAATTTAATCCATCTGGACACTTTACCCTTACTTAGCAGTTCCGAAATATTATGTTCAGGACTTATATTTTTTTTACTGTACTCTCATTGTTATGTATTACACAACACTTTCCCATTCGTACAGATATGGGAAAGTTCTCTTATCTTACAGAGACAAAAACAAGGAAAGTAAAAAAACGAATTCAAACTATGGCGGAGGAGTGAGGAGAGTCCTTTGTTAATGTAGCTAAAATAATCAAACAATAATGGTACACTAACTCTGAATCTGTGCCTTCATTCACACAGACTCATTCTAGGCAATGTGGCTGAAGTGTCTTGCAAAGGGTCACAACAATAGTTTGGTTCTTTACAGCCGCGTTGGCACCTGGTTTTCCCAGTGGTCTCCCATTACAGTAATAACCCAGCAAATAGGCAAATAGGCCAGCAAAACAAAAAGGTAGCTCAAAGTTATTGGTTAGCTCAGTTAGCTCAGTCAATGGAGTTAACATTGTTGGCTTCTCTACACGGACTGCTCTGTGCATTCTCCTCGGCATGTCGTTAGGCGTGGTTCTTTTGGCACCCCCCACCATCTGTTTTTGGTGAGTTCTGTGTTGTTAGAATCACTGATGTTGTTCTAGATCAGATTCAGATTCAGATTCAGATTCAGATTCATTTATTTGCCATTTGCAGTAAAACCACATTGGAAGAACTGTGCAAGACTACCCCGGTGTGCACCAGACGACACACACCAGAGCTCTTGCCACGGCGCCATCTTTTACGGCTAATCAAACAGTTGCTCTTAAATAGAGTAAAGCAAAAAGTGTCATTTTAGCTGTGTTTGGACCGGATTTCGCTCGTGCAGTGAATAGGAAACAGCAGGATTTCCCATTGTAATGAATGAGCAGATATGGAGCGTGTCAGAGAGTGACATTGAAATCTACTTTTAAATCTCTGTCTGTTTTGGTGTCGCAGAGGTTAGCATCTCCATATTTAGCAAAATTTGGGGAAGTTCTACCATTCACTACTGGAGAAGAGCCAGTACTATAATAAAAGGCTAAATGCTACTGTCACCAGTTAGCATTTAGCCTTTGTTGCATCTCAAGTAATAAACTCTCTGCTTTAGCAATTATTTAAAAGTAGGTGAAGATAAATACCTTGAAAACGACCTACTTTTCATTAATCTGGTTTGAAAGGAAGCAGGGAGCAGTCAAATTGATGGCTCTGGAAGTTCTACTAGTATCAGAATTCCGGGGATCCTTGTGTTTTACCATGTTTTAATAGATATTACACACATAACATAAAAAAATAAAATAAACTTCTCATGGCAAAACCATTATTAAACCTTGCTGTTACGTGTCCAGATTAAATTTTCTCTTCATTTAAATCATGGGATTGCCCTTGGAGCAGCTCTGTGGGTAAATTGGTTAGTTTTAAAGAAGTTGCAGCATTAATCAAGCAGCTGTCATTAGAGATACCTATAAGATGCCTCCCCGGTGTCATATCCACGAATAACGCTGAACACAAATGCAGCCTCCAGGAAATATAGGAGCCACACACTGCAGCACTTTTTAAATTGGATTTGAGAGAAGCAACGAGGGCTGGACTATAGTCTTTCACACCAACTGTGCAGCGGCAAACACCTTTATATTAGGATATGGAAAACATTTCTAGCAGCATAAAATCAGCATCAAACTAACACATTCAAAAGTGTTGTTAGGCTGGAATGTTCTCATTAAAAGTGACGAGGGCAACGTTTCTGTTTTAGCCTTGGCGCGGCTTCATGTGATTAAATAAAACTAGCAACTACTAAAAGGAAGCTGTGTTTTCGGCAATATTCAAAAGCCAAAACAAAACATTTTAGATTGTGCATGTGCATAATACACTTGTTTTTTTTGGTAAATTGAATATTCGATTGGATTTCTTAATAAAATAGCTGCAGAAAAAAATGAAAACAATAGAAAATCTTTTTTTTTTCTCTTGCGCGCGCCATCCGATCGGTGAAGCCTACACCTCTGTACTCTCCAGTTCCAGATCACTGCTGCCAGTAATTGGAAAAGAGCTTTGTGCTGAAACCATTTTGTGATTACACTTAGACACATTTATAGGAACTTTGAATTAGTTTGTGGGATAGAACAGCGGAATCCCAAGGTTACTGTTTACTCCATTTCCAAATGTTTTCCTGGACTGGTGCATGGATCACTTTGGACTTCTCACTGAACGCAAACGACTCATGACACGGTTCTGAAGGGACAATACATAAAAAAGATAAGAGACATGATGTTTGATAAAAGTCAAAAGAAATAATTCAATTCACTGTTTGAATTACATTTTGTCCGTAGCACTGTGAGATGACATGAAAATTATTATTATTAAAAGGTATTCTACACTGTTGATATTTATTCTAAACAAATAAGAATCAATATTCAATCGATATTAATTGATACTTCTTGCTGCAATTTTGGTGTCTTTTTATATCCTGCAGCTGTGAAACAAGCTAGCTAATGTGATGCTTGTAAAGGCCGAGTATAATCAAAAGAGCAATTGCACATTTTGTGATTTGCTAATATTATTTTTTCAATTGGCTTTTGCGATTTAATTAAGATAAATATTGCTGAACAATGCATACTGATTTTTTCATAGTTTTTTCCAATTGGTTGAAAGGTTTGATGGAATTAGATGATTTCTATATTGAGTGAGCATGTTACAAATTAAATAACTGCATACATTATTAGGCCCGAGCCCCGAACAATGGTGAATGCAAATGGTCACGGTTGCACGCGTAAACTCAAACGCTTTAAAATGATGTATCACGTGCCATTGAAACCTATATTGTTTTTGCTCGAGACGTCAAAAAAAATAGATCCTATATTTATTTATTTATTTTTCCTTCAGCGCCGTTTGCCTTAATTTGACCCCGTGAAAATGCATGAAAAGTTGTAAAATTTTGCCCAAAAATCAGACCTGGCGAAAACTTGATTATTTTGGTGTTTATTTTTATGGGACTCAAAAAATGGCCGAACAGCGTGGTGAGGGCAGTTGCGTGGTGCGGGGAGGGCCGTTCGCTGTCGCTTGCGGCTTTAATTATTATTGTTTTTTTAAATATGTTAATGTATGTTATCCTACGGATAACTCTGTTATTTTCATTGGAATTCAACAAGTCTGTTTAGGGGGAAGTTATTCCACTTACATTTTCCCAGTTGGAAAAATGACTCAACTGGTCACTGTCCACAGTCCCATCTCCAGAGGTCGATGGTCCGCGAGGTCAGGACAGGATCTGGATGATTTTCCCTATGATTTTAGGTGATGGGTGAAATTGGAGTGCTCTGGTGGAAACCCACCAAGAAACATGCAAACTCCAGAAAGGCCTGGGCCAAGATGGGATCGAACCAGCAACCAGTTTGCTGTGAAGGATGAGTGTTAATCACTCAGCCATTGTGCTGCCAAATGCTGCTGTCAAGATGAGACAGAGATGAGACAGAGGCCAAAGAAATATGAACATTGGCCATCTGCCCCTTATGGACCAATGGCTCTATGTGTTTATTAATCACTGCATTTGTTGTGTTTGAACTGTTTGATTCTCTGATCTGTGTTGGTGAATTGACGGTTTTGTAAAATCCTCTGAGATAACTAGTGTTGTGGTTTAGGGCTATGCTAAAATAAATTGAATTGAATGGATTTGTCTTGGTCGCAAATTCATTTCTACGATTTCTTTTACCAGACCTGCCTGTCACTGTGTATATGCTCTCTCAGCAACAACTCTATTTGTGTATAATTCACTCACATGACATACATCTGCACTGGTCTCTTGGGTTTGTCCTTCCCTTACCAACAGTTACGACATGCCCTCCTCTCAGCTGCATTTTTGTGTTAACAGAATGCAGATGTGCTGTGTGCGGATCTTCTCAAAGTCCACCTCTGCTGCCGCCCCCTTCTGCCATTGGCTCGTGGGGACGGTGGAAGTTTACAGGGGCGAAGGCTTTCCCCATCTGACTTTTCTCTCTCATGACTTCACTTGTTTGCCTCTTTCTGGTACAACATGACTTCTGCACACGACAACGCTGTACTCCAAGCCATCTTCAATCCGAACACGCCGTTTGGAGACCTCCCAGGCCCGAACCAGGAGGAGGCGTTAACTGATAATGGTGTGTGTGTTTGTGGTTGATTTGATATGTTGTATGTTTATCTTTTCACAACATATTGGATTTTCTTGAACAAATTCCATGCCTGGCCAGAACATGACATTTTAATCCAAGTTGAGTTTTTCGAGTGACATTTGTGTGTTTTGCTTTACACGCTACCTGTCAATTGTGTTGGGGAATGCTTTCTCAACTCGTTTATCTTGCCCTGGCAGACAGCGGCTTTGACACCAAGTTGTTGAAGCAGGTGAAGGAGTTGGAGGTGCGTGGAGTCTCAGCGGCAGAGGCAGGGGATTTGAAAGACGCTCTTCAGCTGTTCAGCCAGGCAATCCAGTTGCTGCCCAGGAGAGCATCATCCTACAACAACCGCGCTCAGGCCCTGCGGCTACAAGGGAACACAGCAGGTATAGCACTGCCTCTCACACACGCATGCATCACATGAGAGCCCACAGAAGCTTCCTCGGTGCCTGCGGTGGGATCACGGCACTGAAATGGTGTCAATTTTGATGGAAATTAATAGACTGAATAGCAATTTCCCTGAATATGATTTTAGAATTTTGGTCAATAAGCTGGGATCTTCTTTATAAAGCGTGCATACATACAGTACAGTACTAACGTGTTTTGTACTGTACATGGCTTTACATATACAGTTTGTCATTGACGTAAATGTAAATTGATGGAGAAGTGAGCGATTTGGTCTAAAACGTGAGCATTAAAGATTTTATATATGAGACAGGCCAGTGCCAGGGGAAACTAGAGGTGAGTAACTTTGAGAAAGATTGGCTTTGACGAGAATTTTTGTCTTGTAATTTTACTGTTTTTTGCCCCCCAAATTGTTCTGCTTGTATTCAGTCTTTACTTTCCCAAATAATGGCATTTAAATACCATAAAACAGTGCCATCCTGACATTCTGGATCCAGCTGTAGAGCTCAAGTCCTCCCACGTTCAAAAGGAATTCATAAATGCTGAATGTGTAATATCAGTTAATGACATTTCCATACTGTTCTCTACTCTTATCTTATCTTGTATGAATAATATTCTTATTATCTGTAACGTTGCATTCATTGCTTCCACATCCTCAGAATCCAGTCACATTTCATCTTTCACTCCGACATAGATAGTGTTTGTGGTAGCCAAATATTTTTTGACCAGCGACCAGTCAGGCCCTTCTTCGTTCTGAAACTTGGGATCAGATAAAGGGTGGTGGAAAAAGACCAATCACAGAGCTGGAAATACAGAACTTATCCTGTTTCCAATTTATACTCGTCCTTCTTTCCATATTTTTTTAACCTTTGTGGCGTAAAATTGACAAATGGGGCAGTAAAAACATATTTAAAAATATGGTCTCATCAAAGGTGACGTATGAAGAGAGGCACAATTTGGATGTAGTCAAGCTTTGCACAAAAATCCAAGATGGCGTCGCTACCAGTTTCACAATTGTTTTAAAAATACAGAATATGGAATGAGGTAACACCACTTGATTGATCATGTATCTGCAGCTACTTCCTGTTTCCTGCGATTTGTCCATTCAACTGCGACCAAACAGCTCATATATTTATGATAGTAGGAGATCACTGACCTCATCTAAATGGTGTCTGTGTGTGTCGCAGGTGCACTGCAGGACCTGGACCAAGCCGTGGCGCTCAGTGGCTCCGCAGGACGTTCAGGCTGTAGGGCTCTGGTGCAGAGGGGCCTCCTGCGTAGACTCCTGGGTCAGAACGAAGAGGCCAGAGAGGATTTTGAGAAAGCAGCAGCACTCGGGAGTCCATTTGCGCGACAACAGGCCGTTCAGCTCAACCCCTACGCAGCGCTGTGCAACCGCATGCTGTCCGAGGTCATAAACAAACTGCGGAACCCTGACCTGTCTGAAGTGCATTAGCATAACATGTGGTTCAATAAAATTCTGTTTTTCTACTTGCTTATTTCATTCACTAAAAGGAAGTCATTTGTTGGACCGGATACTATGTTTTTTTCTGGTATCAGTAAATTACTTTACCACTTATTTTTCTGCCAATTCTTTACTTTTACTAACCAGGATATATCGACATATCTATTCTTTATTATTTTAGATTGGAGGATAAATTACAGACATCACATAAATACAGGTTCAAAGTGGTTATGCTCAGTGTTGGGGAGTATCAGAGTACATGTAACGCTGTTACGTAACTCCATTCCATTACAGTTATTACTTTAAAGTCTAGTATTTAGAATGCAGTTACTTTCTGAAAATCATGGCAAAACATACTTTCTCTTTAAGGTAAAAACAAACAAAATACAACAACATCAAAGAAAACGTGTCCACGCATTATGCATCCAACAAGTCCAGGCGTACGGCAGCGAGTGCATGAAGGAGACTGGTTTAAAAACATGGAGTCAGACTTGGAGTCAGAGACCAGGAGACACGGAAAGAACGCAAGTCAAGTTGCCAATGCATTCATATTGTGGAAGTTCATTCAGTAATTCATAAAATTGTCTTTTTAGTACTAATGTAAAAAATAGCCCCTGAACTGACCACTAAGCTAGCATTAGCTAAACATAGCGTTCTATTGAGCATGCGCTTGTACGTTCGTGCGTGTAAATTAGCATGGTTATATTTCTATTGTCATAAATAAATGTATTTTAAGTATTTGGAAAACAGTTTCTATTTTTTCCAAAGTAACAGAATACTGTACAAACTACATTTTAGGTCATGTATTCAGTATTCTGTAACAGAATACATTATCAAAGAATTCTACCAAACACTTTAATGTTGAATAAAAGTAATGTTTAGAGATTTTTGAACACTCAATGTGCCATCGGCCCCTTCGACCACCACCAACCTTTCACTCTCACACACAGATGATCCATGACCCACACTTGCACCAGGCAATGCAGGGAAGTGTCTTCACAGCCGCAGCTGCAACTATAGTGTTCCCAGATGTCTCCCATCACAATACTAATCAGGCCCTGATTTGCTTAGCTTCTGAGGTCCAACAGGATCTGGCTTTCACAGACTGGTGCCACCAAAGATTATTTAAATAAATTGTTGTTACGTACAACTTAGAAGTGTGGCTATGTTTATTTATTGTTAAAATATTTGCCAGTGTGACACATTTCTACAAGGACATACCGTAATACTGTAAAGTGTATAACATTCTATACTTCATTACTTTTACCACAGTTGATTTGTATTAGAAAAAGAGTTTACAACCACCATAACTGGCTCCAAAATATACAGTATATATGCTAAATATTCCAAAATGTATGAATCATAAGCCCAAATTTGTTTTAAATGCAAACATTTATGATACATATTGACTTATAAAAACATTACCTCATTTAAGATTACCATGATATTGACTTTTCCAAGAATCTTAGAAAATAGTTACAGTATCTACAACTTTAGTCCTGAGAAAGTCCCTGTGAAAAGAGGTTGCAGAGGTTCTTCTTTTCCCACCTCTGCCGATAGCTCGGGGAAACGTAGCCTATTATGTTCAACGTGGTGGTGAGACATTTTGTTTCAATTAGAATGCACAGTCATGACATAAACTAGGCCAAATAAATTGTGACATTTTAGGCGGGTATATGAAGTAACTATAATGCTGATTGAAATACAACTTCTGTCCACTAGATGTCAGTCTCACTACACTCTACACATTACAACTTGATGTGATTTTGTTGTGTGACTATAGCCAGATGCCCCAAAAGAACACGGTGCATTATATGTGATTACAAACTTATTTATATCCATGAGCCACTGTTAACACAAGTCACATGTGAGTTAGTGGTTGTAAATAAAAGCAGCTGGAGTCCAGCTGATCCCAGGCCTCTGGTCTTATCGGCTGGAACAGGCCCGCTGTCCATCTGCGACCTCTCCTAGGCTGGGTAAGGCCACCGGCTCACACCACTCTTCTCTCTGGTAGTATGAGCAGCTCTTTAAGTGCTCTGACATGGAGGGAATGTCACTAAAGCTCCATTTGTCCACAGTGGAAAACCCAGAACTGAAGGACCACACCTGCGAAACAAGACCATACAAAAAAAGACACATCTGTGACTTTAATGAATCCATACATGAAATCTGAAACCTATTCATTTAGTGTAATATAAACACAGCTGCATCACTGTATGACTGTGCAGATGATCAGTGGTCACTTTTGATTGTTAATGTCCTTCCACCTTAAATGTTAATACATATTTGAGGTTTGTTTGCATATATTATGTTTATTATTTATTTTTATTGATTCTCTGATCAGTTGTAAAGTCCTCTAAGACGACTGCTGTTGTAATTTAAGGCTATACAAAAACACATAGGAAAAAATGAGTAGAATGATTGTTTTTTTGGTTGGACAGTGGATTCTAATGAACACACCTCTCTGATGTGGCTTTGGTCTCACTTGGCTGATCAAACTTACAGTATACTGTCTTTTCATTATGCCCCAATGAAGACTCTTTATCAATCGAAATGCAATGGTCTGAAGGTGTTAATAAAGCTGTAAACTGACCAGAGTACCCCAGACTCTCAAACATATTGCCTTTGGCTGAAGGACATAGGATTTGAAATCCCCTATGAGGATCAAAGTATGTTTATCATCTGTGCCACATGAGGCTGCTTTTGATACACTTCTTTTGATGGCTGTTCTTCAATGGGAAGATATGCCCAGCTGTCTTCTGCATCTTGTTATTTGCCCCCAATGTTTCAATGTTAATCCAGATCTGCCAAGTTATGTAGCCAACAGTTTACAGCCGACTAAGCTCTGGCCATTCCTCTTCGCTGACATCATCAGGCTGACGACAGTGTGTGTACTGCTTTTACCTCAAATGTCTTCTTAGCTTAAAGGAAAGTATGTTTGTAGGTGAGGAGGATACTTGGCTGTGATTGGCCTGTGACTAATGATGTCACCAAGTGATTAACAGTCCAGGATCGAAGTTACAAGTTGATCCTGACTCATACCTCAAACCTTTACCCTATTCTTAACCCTAAACCAAACCTTATCTCTAATTCCACCACAGTAAACCCTGGCCCTACCTCTAACCTCTAACTCCTAACCATAACCTCTAACCATAACCCAACATTGAATCTGGGCTAACAACTTTGACAATGATCCTGGACTGTTGATTACTTTGTGATATGTGATTATGCACCAAGAAACAGCCACCAGTGATAGTAAATAGGCATTTATCTAAACTGCTGCCATTTAATGCTGTAGACTATTATGTATTTTAGATATTTTCATGTTTTGAAAAACATTATCTGAACGTTAATTTTGAACCTGTTATCAAAGTTATAATGGGAAAGAATTCAGAATGGTTGCAATTGGGTCCTTTTAACATGAAAAAGGTGAAATTAAAATAATAATCAAAGAGGTCACATAACTTATAATAAGGAAAGTGATAATACAAAAGTTACATTTTTCCTATACACCTTTTTTTGTTTTTGTTATTGATTAATGTGGTATGTAAATGGTTGTATTCTTAACAACCTGTGAACAACAAGTTTCTGTTTGCAATATTATACTTTACAGTGCTCCACTCTTTTGGTTCCCAAATAAATAGTTTGGAGAACTGGTGTCATTGGCCTATTTATGACACCAGCCTATTAATTTTATCCAGAATTCAACCACTTTAAAACAGAATTGATTAACAAATAAAAATAAAAAAGCCTTTAATTCTTGAAATAATTATATAAAACTCATACATAATACAAGCATCATGTGTAGTATAATAGAAATAAATATACTTGCTTTCTTCTCACTCTTCCAGGATATCAACCCGTGGGAATCTGTCTTCTTTTCCCACTCAAGGAAGACCATCCCTCTCTCCTGTAACAGCACCGCACACACATCCCTCATCAGGTGCGAGGTCTGGGACAACTGCGATAAAGTGAAACTGTCAAGGTAGACCACGATGTGCCGAAGGACCTCGAGGGGCAATCTGCTCAGGCCATCCATTTGGGGGTCTACCTTCTCAGTTTGGCACGACGAAGGGAAGGCTTGAGGCTGAAGGACAAGTGCGTTGACATCTCTGCAGTACTTTATTGTAGCATGTTGCCCAGAAGGATGGAACCTTGTCTGGATATAAGTGCAGCCTAGGTATGCCAGAGGGCAGCGGTGTTGGAACCATCCATTGAGACAAGACTGGATGTCAGAGTGTACGTTTTTACAGTGTGAGCTAAACTCGTCTCGCCGGAAGATGTGTCCGCAAATGTAGCTGAATGCTGAATTGCTTCTATTATGCCTTCTCGTCACTGACTCTGTCTCAATATTGATGTCAAGACCGTTATGGTTTGGGGCAATATCAACAAGGGACGCATCAGCTTGAAATGGGGCTGAATGGAAGTTATATGTTTGTGTCCCAACATCATCATAAAGTAGATCATTGGATGTATTTTGTGATATAGAATGGCCTTTCAGTTCTTTCTCTAATGCGCATAGAAGTGCCATAGTCACTTCACAGCCATTTGGAATATCTTCAAGGAACACGCCCAAATCTGCAGTATCCACACACTGATGGGCAGTTTTGATTTTTCTCGATGGGTCTTTTAGTTGGCTTCGTCTGGCTCTGTAGCTGGTAGGAATATTGAAGGTGCGGACAGTCTTCACTTCAATCGGCTCAAGTTGTCCGTAAACAAAATCCTTCTCTCTCGGAGTACATGCTGGGATTTGGCCAAAGTCGATAAGCATTGCTCCATTGTGCACTAGATACATGTTGTATTCAGATATATGGACTTGATTTCTTAGCCTCTCCAGGACCCCATCTTGCCATGGTGCGAGCCCTGTTGCATCGCTCTTGCCTAAAGTGGCAGCAGCGCCCGCAGTGTCTCCTTGCCCATTGCTCAAATGATATTCCTCTCTTGTCTCTCGTTGACAGCTGCTTGATTCCTCCCCTGCCTTCTTCTCTCTT